TTGGAGATAGCTTGCGAAGTATGATGGACACCAGCAGCTTGCAAACGACGGGGATTAAGGTTATGCCTCTGTAGTTAGAGCAGATTGTGCGCAGACCCTTTTTGAAGATGGCGACGACTATCAATTCACCCCAAGATGATGGAACTTTCTCTTTCAACAAATTTTCGAGAACAAAGCGGTGAGTTCTCGAATCAGCGAAGCGCCACCATCTTTAAATAGAGCTGGAGGAAGACCATCAGGGCCGGGGGCTTTATAACGCTTCATGTGCCGGAGCTCCTGCTCAAGTTCCTGGTAAGAGGAAGGATCTGTTGGGGTAGACCAGTCGGCCTCAGAGGTAGCAGATGGAGCTGGGGCCAACAGAACTGCGAGCCTAAATGTTCTGCCCATCGCTCCAACCGTCGTTGAAGATTGGTGATTAAGGTGCCATCCTCTTCGCATATTGTTTCACTTATACCAGATCGAACACCGGTAAATCGAATGAGATGGAAAAGTTTTCTGGTATTACCAGAGACTAGCAAGCTCCATCTCCCTAGCACGTTCACACCACCAAGCTTCGTGGTCCATTTGCAGACTCCTGCGCAACTCTCGACCGAGGGATTGGCGTTCTTCACTGTGTCTGGAATCCGCCGAGATCAAGCGGCGTTTGTCCATCAGCGACAAGGAGTCGGCGGAAATCCAATGCTTCGGTGGGTGACGGGCGACTCCACAAGTGTCGATACTGGCAGAAACTAAAGCATTTTTAATCTGCGCCCACTGCGAATCGAGATCACCGTCGATAGTTGATCCAAGCAAGGTTGACAATGAGTCTTGGTACCCGGTTAAAATCGCAGGGTTTTATAAATTTGCGACGTCCGGTCGGTAACGAGCGCGCTTAGGTGATCCTCCGGAACGCTTGCAAATCTTAGCACGAACCAATGCGTGATCGGAGTCTAGATAAGTTGACCAATACGATCGGCAGTCCATTACACTTCCGCGCCATCTGTAGCTGATTGCTATGTGGTCAAACTGGGAGCACTCTTGCGTTTGTGAAGGCGGGTGCCAGGTAGCAGTGTGTCTCCTCGAGTGCCGAAAACTAGTGCTCGAAAGATACAGGCGATGATCAGAGCAAAGAGCAAGCAGTCTGTTTCCATTGTCTGATCGACTGCCACCGAGACCAAAACTACCCCCAAGGTGGTGCTCGCTTGGTGGAAGGCGGCCAACCCGTGCGTTAAAGTCTCCGGCAAGAATGACTATATCAGTCCTTTTGGAGGAACACAGAAGTTCATGTTGCTGCTGGTAAAAGCTATCTTTAGCTGCATCCGGGCTGCAGTCTGTAAGGGTGTAGACGGAGACGACAAACAAGGCACGCTTAACATCTCGACGCCTGCTTACGTTACATGAACCTCTTAGTCTGACCGCACATAGCCGACTGTTGACTGGGATCCAGTCAAGCAGAGCTGATTCGCCCTGGCACTCAGTGCAACCCCAACATCAGCTTGGCCAGTGGCGGCAGCTTCTGGGTCTCCGGAAAGCTGCAAGTGGTATTTGGCGTCAGGGTTCACCGGAGAGGCCATTCTGATGACGGCACTAGAGTCTTGTGATCTGGTCTCTGAAAGGCAACAGATGTTTACCGAGAGTGTTTCAAGAGTACGGGCCAGACATGCTTGTCGTCCGATCTGCGTCAAAATTCGAACATTAAACGCTGCGAGGATGAATGGAGAACCAGGTCGAAGAGGAGCTGGAGCTTCGGTGGAGTGAGAGGCGGTTGCGATCGCAGGACATTGAAAACCGGTAGTTTGGCTTTTGCTTCCATCAGTTGCGAGACGTGGCTCGTTTGTGACGGTGATCGAAGAAGACATAAGAGTACATATAGGTGCAGGACGGAAGGTGGGGTGATCTGTGAGTGGAGGTTGAGCAGTTGAGATAGCATAGAAGATAGGCATAGCAGGAGCAGTGTGGTCCATGATTCGTCAGTGGACGTGATACTACGCGGTTGCTCGGGCCGAAGTAGAGGGTTGTCTTAGGGGGGCGTACCCCGAGCCTTTGATCAAATATCTAACCTACAAGGCAGTAGGGCGATGTGAGGGCCTCGCAACCTGTTTGGAGCCGGTGACCAAATAGATGGTTCATACGCCTTTCGTCCGTGAAGGACCAGGGGCCCAACTCACCCTTAAAGTACGATGCCTCTCAGGGAGGGGCAAGGGGCAGTGACTTTATTTAGTGGCGAGTCATATCCGCCACGTTGCAGTGTTGTTAAACGAACATATGTGGCTTTTTATAGGGAGAACGCTTGCCAGGCGAAAACCCACCACGTCCTGGAATAGTGACACCGAATCACTTGCTGGAATGGGAAAAATCCGAACTACCCAGCGGGCACCACAAGGAGGTTGTTCGCCAAGCCAGCCACAGATCAGGGTCGCAGAGTTGCACATGGTGCTGCGGATGGGTGCCCAGTGCGTTTCAACGTCTGAGAATGAGTCGCCCTTTAGATTTGGAGCCAACGCCTCACGAAAGGCGCTAAGAACGCTTGAGTCAGATAGCTTAGTCACATGAAACCGTTCCCAGCGACACTGTTGGGAGCCACCAAAACGTGGAACGATCCTGGCATACAGGAGCGCCTGACCCGAAGTGAGGTGGTTACTGCGGCTTTATTTGCGCTCCTGTATGCGGCCTCGCCAGCGATAACTGATGTTGAGTGGTCAATTTGTGTCCATGGCCGGCCCGATAATGGAGGCATCCTGGTGGCGCGTTGACGCCAGGATCACCGAAAGCTAGTGCTCGACAGGAAGAGGCTGTGATCAGCGCAAAACTGAAGTAGACATTCACCGTTGTCTGCGAGTACAGTGACCATGTTGGCCACTGATCTCAAGCTCAACTTCAAGTCCTACGACTTGCGCGTTTATGCCCCCGGCAAGCACCACGATGTCTGTACGCGCTTTTTTCGGAGGAGGTTGGACAGTAGACAGTAGAACTCGTCTTTAACTGACTCAGGGCTGCAGTTTGTGAGGGTGTATGCTGCAGCATCTGCTGGCTCCGCAGCTGGACAGTTGCATTGTGGTTGTGAGTCGGATCGCGCAAAGTCGACTGTTGACACAGATCGAGTCTAGTAGTACAGTCTCTACACGTGTGCTGAGCGCAACCCCCTACGTCGACAAATCCAATGGCTTCGGCGGTTTAGTCTCCAGGTAAGCGCAGTATGGAAATGTCAGCGGAACTCGCGGATGGTGAAAAAAGTCATAGCGTCATTCTAGGTTCCTGTATTCGGGTTTTAAGGAAGCAGCAGGCATCATTGGCAGTTGTCTCTATTGTGTGAGCAAGGGCTGCCTGTGGTCCGATCTGCATCAACTTCCAAACCTTAAAGGTTGCCATCTTGAATTGAGAAAGTGGCGCTAGAAAAGGCTTGGCAATACTATTTGGCCGCACATCCTCAGACCTAACTTCCTGATCCGTATGGTGAGAACATTCACCCAAGGCGGCGTTATGTCATGGACTCGAAAACGGAGGGAGGTTATCAAGGATGGGGGAGTTAAGCAAACGTGGAATAAAGTAAATGGACGGTAATGCGGTAGGGCGCGAAATAGCGTGTTCGGCTGCCAGCACCACAGCCAAGGGTAGCAATGTCAGAAAGCAAAGAGAGAGCTAGTGGAGTGGCGTTGAGACATTGGTCTATAAGTGAAATGAGGTGACAATTGGTTGGTTCGGCGGATGTGTACGCCATCAGGTTGCGGATCGAGGAACGCCTTCCTTGCTAAGGTAACTGTGAGGATGTCTCAGCTGTTCGTAGTCGCGGACAACCAGCGGCGTTCTTCTAGAGCTTTGGGGATTCTTGGCTGGTCATCTGACTCTTTAGTAAATACTACAAATGCTCGTGGGACGCTGTGTCAAAGTCAGTGTGACTGGCTATAGGGTCACTGATCACTCACTTCCGTTACCAGAGGTGAGTATTCGAGGGAGGGCGGGTGAACAGTCTCGGTGGTCACCGGCTTTTTCTAAGGCCTATGACTCAGTTGGCTATCAACAGCCTTCCTGATGGCCGGCGTTTGTGTCGTCTAGCGAATTTCTCCTAGCCACCGTATTGTCTCACTCTGGCTCGGACATCCTGTATAGTTTGTTCGTACTGGAAGGCCGTGTTATCCTCACCTTGGTATCCTGCTCCCAACGGTTTGTGATATACATAAATCACCCCGCTGCTTTGTGGGTCTGGTTTTTATGATACACGACTCCGGGCGAAACCCCCTAAGTCAACCCTCTTACTTGGCCTGGGCAACCGGGAGCTCCATGCCCACACAACCAATGTAATGCTTCTAGGAACTCTCCTGTCTTCTGAAGGGAGCATTTTTTGAATGACATTGTTTCCACAGTTGGGCAATGGCTCGATAATCTAGTCTAAGTCAACTGGTGTCTATCTTGTAACACTGTGCGTCGCAGCTCGTATGCGCTCCGTTGCGTGTTCCGTACTGCTTCTGCATTTGGCACATTATTAGCATTATTAGGTTTGCATCATTGGGTTTGCTTTCTACCAGCTACTGCTACTTACCTGCTATCAATCCCGCACTGAAGATGCCACCTCGAATGGTGGCGAAACGTCTGCAACCAAGTTGCCCAGCTCAGAGAACTCCACAGCAACTGAACATTATTAGCAGCCCAGCCTGCACGCATACACGCCTGAATAACTCGAGGCATCAGTAGTATGAGGGTATACCTTGCGAACGCTTCACTGTCACCCCACAATCACCAGTCGCGTGCAGGATAAGGATACTAGGAGGTCATTCTCACCTAGCCCGGCTCGAGCCGCCGGTGACACTTGGATTACAAACCAGACTCCTGAACCACTCGACCACCGGCGACACTTACGCCCCACGCACGTATTTTGTCTTTATGATTTTCCCTGCTTATTGTTTTCCTGTTCCTTACCTACAAGTTCTTTCGCTACTGTAGTTCCCTTTTCGTTGTAAAAGGAGATGCACCATAACGTATATGTGGTACCAAGTCTTACATCCTCTTCATTTTCTTCACCACAGGTCGTCAGTGCACTTCCAGTAGATCGTATTCTCCTGGAAACCGATGCTCCTTGGTGTGAAATTCGTCCAACGCACGCTGGTAACAAGGCTTTGTTCATTGTTACTCCATTTCTTTTAGGATACAAATTTGTCAATACACGATTCACCTATCGTAAACCACAGCAATGGGACCCTAAATGCTTGGTGAAGGGACGAAACGAACCGGTGAATATCGTTCAGGTCGCCGAAGTTGTCGCTGCAGTGAAAGGCTTATCTCCAGCAGCGTTGGCTGCCCAGGTTTACGAAAATACACTGCAGGTTTTTTCGTTTCCCACAGCCCCGAGTGTACTAGAAGATAAACTCCCAGTTACGCCTTGATTCCTTTGCCGGATGACGTATGTATTCACTGTTGTCTATTGCATATTCGTGGATATTTTTGAAAGATATTTCTTACGACACCCCGATACTTTTGTTTCCTTCAACATTGTATATGAGATCGGCCGATTTGGTCTCTGTTATACTCTCTCCATGTGTAATAGCAAGCCTATTGCTTTTTGCACTATCCACCGCTCGTTTATCTATCGCTTTGTCTTCTGCGAACTTCACCCTTATTTCTTTTATGACCTCCCTACCAGGTTTCCGTTCATTAGTTACTTTTTCGGGGTTCTCATTGGAAGGGTGTCTTCTTTCTTCAGTGACGATGCTTCATAGCTATTATGACAAACGGGTGGCTCACATTCGTGGTCGATTGGGGTATTTACAAGGCTCCGTGGAAGCCAAATTTTCGTTGAACCACTTCCTCATCATCATTATACACGTTAGCTGCAGGTGGAAAACACCTGCTATTGTGCCGCAATACAAAAGACAAGAAAAGGAAAACGGTGGCACGCCGGCTGAGTCCCCAGTAACGGATGGACATCATTCTGGAGAGCTAACAGTCAGCTGTGGTGCCGCAAAAAGAGTTATATTGTGCCTAATGGATGTAATCGTGATTGTTGGTGGTGGCTAAGCGGGAGGGGGGTGGACAAAGAAACTCACAACACACCACTGGGGCCGGCTGCCAGCCATATCAACAAGTGTGTCCAACTAAACGTGTTCATCGTCTTTAGGACCCCAGCCAGGCAGTCGGGATGCACCAACTAACGCCAACTTCCAAGTGACGGTTTTCATTTCTCTCGGCCAAGTCTCGCTTGGCATCCCTCTTGCAACCGCACGTCCGACCCGCGAACAATGCACGTCGCGGGAGTCTATGTGCTGGCATGCGCAACACATGGCCCAACCATCGGAGCTTGGTGCGTGATTTAATGGTGCTGAGCGGTTCACTCGCTCTTCTTGCACCAAATACGCGACGCCGAACACACTCAATACTCACGCGATGCTCCCACCAGACATGAGTTAAGCTGCGAAGGCACCAATGATCGAACGCGACCAGCCTCTTTATGTCTGTCGACCGGATGGGTCAGGTTTCACAATTGTGTAAGAGGTTGGAAGGACGGTTGCATTATACACTCTATCCTTCACAGAGAGAGTGATGTCGCGCCTGCGCCACAGGTGGCGGAGATTGGCAAAAGCACCTCGAGGTTTTTCTATACGGATTGAAGTCTTGACTTCGATCCCACTGACGCTAATATAGCTGCCCAGGTACTGGAATTCCTGAACGACTTCTAGCAGATTACGACAAAGCGTTGGCGCAGGGTTGGGTCCCTGCCAATCTTGGAGAAGAACTTTGCATTTTGATGGAGCAAAGTATAGCCTAAAACGATTGACGGCCAGTAATAATCAGTCCAGTGCAGCCTGGCACGTTTGGGCGCTGTCACATATGAGGGCATTGTGGTCCACATGCTCCAAGTCAAGAAGTCGTTCACCATAAAGTAGCTCCACACCTTCTATGTCGTATCCAGCGAACGCTGTTTCCATGACTTCATCAATAGCGAAGTTGAAGAGGAAAGGTGACAGCGGGCATCCTTGTCTCACACCGCTGGTGGTGGCGAGAGTTTGCCATAAACCCTCACTCTGCCCGAACTATGCGCGCACAGCGCTTTGATAATGTTTACATATTTATCGGGCACACCCTTTCTCACAAACAGTCCCAAAGGGCACATCGATCCACCGAATCGAAGACACCTTTGATGTCGAGAAACACGACAACGAATGGCGGTGCTCCAACAATTGACGCAACGTGAAAACGTGGTCGATGCAGCCTCGATTTCGACGAAACCCGGCTTGCTCTTCGCGGATCTGGCCTTAACGAGCGCCAGTCGGTCTGTGGAGAACGACAGAGGCAATTGAGATCAGAATGATTCCTCTATGGTTGCCGTATTCTGAACTGGAACCTCCCTTGATAATTGGGACAATGACGGAGCGGTTCTAGTCTGTCAGGACAGTTTCCTGCTCCTAAAGTTCCATTAGCGACCTGTAAATCACCTACAAGTGCAGGTCCGCCTAATTTGAAGAGGGCTGGATGAAGGTCATCTGGCCCCGCAGCCTTATTCAATTTCAACGGTGATTTTACGTTCCACTTTGCACGTGATGGCGTATCCAAGGGAACGACCGGTAAGGAAGCTGTTAAACGGCTCATAATGTTGCTTTTCTAGGTGTTCGGCTCAACACTTTACGTGTCCTGACAATCTGTGATTGACTATCCACTCTGGTTACATATAGTCTTGCGAATACCCATTCTCCTGCTGCCCGCTTCTCGTACCAGAGCGTAATTTCAGATGGTTACCAAGGCAGCGGCTATTTTTATATCCCATGCACGATGAGACCACCAGGATTCGCAGTCTCTCTTCAGGCTAGCACGCAGTTTCGCCCTGAGGTCTTTACAAGTCTCGTATTCGCTTCCAGCCGGAATGTGTCGGCGAGCATCTAGGAGCTCCAGAAACTACGTAGAGACCTAATTTCCAGGTTTCAAGTCGCATGTGGGCCGGTGGCCGAGTGGTCTGCACGCCTGGCTTGCAATCATAAGGTCACCAGCTCGAATCCGTGTAGTGGCGGGCGTCTTTGCGGTATACTCAGTTCACGCGCCAATGATGGTGGTAAAGCGCGTGGCAGCGATGCTGCGTTACGGCATACAGCTGACACATTATTTATTTTGTGCTAATGACGTCTGATGGATATGCGACCAGTGACCATCAGTTGTATTCAGTGAGGACTTGCTCAACCCGCATGCCACCGCAGTTTGATATACATTATAAACTTCTGGCTTCGCCATTTTGCTGGTTTCTATGCGCGTCGCTGCATGCGCCCGCCGAAGCGAACTCTGTGATTAGCACATACAAACTGCCTGGTTGGATTCCACGCTCATGCTCCAAATCCAGCGACAGTTTTGGACACCACTCTTTAGCATTAACTGATCGCGATGTGATTGGTTTGCATCTGAACCTGATGGGTGCCATGTCACTCTCCTGGGTGTGATGTGTCGGGAGTTAGTGCTCACGAGCACTAGATGAGCATCTTCATACAGGTCTAACAACTGCTCACCGTTATCACTACGGAAGGCTACACCGTGTTGGCCGCCCTGATGCAGCTCATTAGTGGACAATTTTCCAGCTAGTGCGTTTAGATCACTAGCCAGCAATACAGTTTCCGTACTTTTTCTGTAACGTACTAGGGTGTTCATTTGGTGGTTGAAGTCAGTTCATCGAATCAGCGCTGCAGTTTGTAAGGGCGTAGGTAACAATGACAAACAGGCACCGTTTGTGTCCCAAGTGACCTTGACGCGGTTACTCGATTTCTTGGTCTGCTGTACTTTCACGTTTTATAGGTGAAATATCTTCGATAACAAGGCATATTGGATATCGAATAATGGGGCAAACAGTCAGTTTGTGAGCAACATTTCTACCGCATCAGTTTCGCACTCATGAATAAGCCCTATTGCAATGCAATTCACATTCCGTCAGACCAACGGGTGCAGAGCACAAACACAACTCCTGATATCACGAAACTTCATGAATCTCCCCACTTGCTCTGTTATGACAAATCATAGATCAACTTATGATCGACACTTCTTTTATTGTAAATAACTGATCATGCCTTCTATGGTGTACCTCGTGTAAGACCGAGAATGTATCTTACCGTCATCATTACACATTAGCTGAAGGTGAAAAACTCACTTCGACTATTGTGCAGCAATTCTTAAAGATAAGAAACGTGGAATTCAAAAGAAGTCAACACACTGCTTATTATCATTACATGCGTCAAGACAGGGCTCGTGGTTGGAGGGTGGAAATAAGCGGGATGGGGAGGGACAAAGAGACTCACAACACAAACGCCATTGAGGTCGGCTCCTTGCCATGTGAACCAGTGTATCCGACCAGAGGTGTTCATCGTCATTCGGACCCCAACCGGGCAGTCGGGATGCACCAACCTACGACAAGCTCGAAGTGAGGAACTTCATTCCTCTCGACCAATTCATCGCTTGGCCATCCCTCGTCCTCATCCATCCACAGCTCCGGCACGCAAACGACGCACATCGCGGTAGTCAGTGTGCTGGCATGCGCAACACGTGCCCAAGTCAACGGAGTCGGGTACGTAACAGTACTGAGCAGATCACTCGCTCTTCCTACACCGAATGGTTGGCGGCATCCGATTCCGGATTTGCCTGTCACTGCGCCCTCGTAGGATAAACACAGGACGCCTGCGCCTACCGAGGGACCATGGGTGGCTTGCGCTACACCACCCACTGCTCCATCCACACACCTCATATCTAGTGTAAACCCGAAGAAATGAAACCGAGTGGCATGTGGATGGGAGCCATGTTTCATCAACGGGGTCGGCCCACACTCCTTCAACAGGCAGAGCGGAACCATTCATGCCTAAATGGGATATCATGCGTACCCGACTTACACAAGGCGGTGGCTTGGCCGTAGCCCATTCCACATTGAGTGCATGAAACCACTATTTCAGCTTATCACCGTCACGAGGACCATACACTCTGTCCTGTCCAACAACTACCAACTGTCTCCTGGAGCTAGTATGGACGAGGGGGTGTTTCCTAGGCAGGTAGGCACCTTGTTAACATTCATATCGAGTGCAGCCACACCGAGGATATCAATCAATAACCGCGTCCTGAAATGCAAGAAGCTCAACACGCAGGCACATGTACAGACCAACTGCAACGACGATGCAGCGCACGTGCCACATCAACCGCCTGCTTGACTTGAGTTAGTAAATCGAGTTGTTGCGGACGCAGCGCACTTACCAATCGCTGCGTTGTTTATGCTTACATAATCAGTTGACTCATCGTCTTTTGGATGCTGCCCTCACCTGGTAACGTTGGTGGCTTACCAGGCCCGCTTGGCTCAGCCACTTGCGACGGCATGTGCTTCTGCACCATGCGCTTGACATCGATGGGGTAGACTACATCGGCTTCTGTCGCTTCCGTACACTGCGTTTCTCCCGCGCAAGTTACATTGATTTATACTGCCCATTGGCAACCGCCCTCTTGATCATCTCACGCCTTTCCCAACGATCAGCCTTTGACTCCGAGCATCTGAAATCAACATTAATTCGTAATAAACTCACCTTGATCATGTTCTGGTAACGTAACTTCGGTTTTCCAACGTGCCGCTTCCCTGCGTTAAGTTCTCCATGTAAGAGCTGTTTGCGTACCCGAGTCGAATTCAGTCGGCTGATATGCCCTGGCCACCTCCGATGCCGCAGTGGAACTATGCAGTCCACTGCACATATTCCAC